TCTCAGCTCCATTGTAAGATTGAGCTGACTCCTGGGTTCTTCTTGGTTACCACATGTGGCCATGCCCGGGCAGTTCTTCCTTAGTCACTGTCGTTTGCTTACACAATTGTATTTGTGAGCAGGTTGACAGGCCCCAGCCCTAATCAGGCACATGAGGTTGTGTAGTGAAGGGCTAAGTAGTCAGGGCCTAACCACCTTGTGCCTTTGCAGCTGCTTCTCAGACTCTGGGGATGTGGGAGGGCTGCCACCCTTGCCCTTCTGCATGCAGCCATCACCCCATAGCAAGACTGTCAGCGAGAGTGAGCTGAGCACCAGTGCCACGGAACTGCTGCAGGACTACATGCTCACGGTAGGCAGCCAGCTGCGTCACCTGTCTGGTTTTGTTACTATTGTCCTGTGGGAGTGTTACGATGGGCCCGAGTTGATGCTGGGTTGTTTGGCCTCGATCATGCTGGTGCTGTAGGAACAGCAGCTCCATCAGTGCCTAGGCCTGATGCCTCCTTGCATCTTAGATTTGAAAACTCAACCTTTTAGATCTGTTTACCCCCCAGGTCATATGTGTATCCCTGCTGCTCCATGTAGAGCTAGCTTCCTTCCCTTCATCCCTCCTGGGGGCCCTTTTATTTATTTATTTTTTAAAATTTATTTATTTATTTTTGTTTTTTTCGAGACAAGGTTTCTCTGTAGCTTTGGAGCCTGTCCTGGAACTTTCTTTGAAGACCAGGCTGGCCTTGAACTCACAGAGATCAGCCTGCCTCTGCCTCCCAAGTGCTGGGACTAAAGGCATGTGTCACACGGGGCCCTTTTATTTATTTATTTTTTAAAATTTATTTATTTATTTTTGTTTTTTTCGAGACAAGGTTTCTCTGTAGCTTTGGAGCCTGTCCTGGAACTTTCTTTGAAGACCAGGCTGGCCTTGAACTCACAGAGATCTGCCTGCCTCTGCCTCCCAAATTCTGGGATTAAAGGCGTGCGCCACCATCGCCTGGCCTGAGGACCCTTTTATATTGAGACAGTAGATCTGTGTGCTACCTAGTTCTCTGGGTGGTTATTATGCTGGGCCTGATGACAGAGACATATGGTGGGCATTCTGACCCCACAGTAGGTACACAGGAAGCCAGACATGACCAACAACATGTCTGCAGCATGGCCTGACACCTAAGTGTTGAGCCTTGGCCACTGGGTTGCGGTAAGGGTGGGGTCCAGCTGCCACACTGCTACGTACACTCACACACCTACCTGTGCTAGCCCTCACTCCTCTGCACTTCTCTTCCTTCACAGCTACGTACTAAGTTGTCATCACAGGAGATCCAGCAGTTTGCAGCACTGCTACATGAATACCGCAATGGGGCCTCCATCCATGAGTTCTGTATCAGCCTGCGACAGCTCTATGGGGACAGCCGCAAGTTCCTGCTGCTTGGTGAGTGGGTTTTGGGAGGGCTACTGGCCCCTTCTGGGAATGTGCAGAGTTCAGAGGGGAGGAGCTCCATCATACATGTCTGTATCAAAGCTGAGCTGAGGCTGCAGGATTGACATAGCTACAGGAAGGGCCCTTGCTATGTTCTCACTCTGCCTGGAGCTTTGAGCTGAGCTGGTTGGGCTCTGCCAGAAAGCATGAAAGACCCTGAGACTGAGCCTTAACAACACCCATCAAGTAAGAAGGTGCTGCTGGAACGAGGCAAAGGACTCTTGAAGGGGGTAACTTTGTCAGTGGGGTTTGGGGAACATATAGGGATTTGGTGAGTGGGAAAGCAAAGACAACATCTAGATGGAAGGATAAGCCTTTGTCCAAGACCCCCAGAGGAGCCCAGCACATTCTGTCAGAGTCACCACCAATCTAGGTGTCAGGCCTGCCACATCAGCCGCACACCTGGAAGGGTGTGGTTTTCCCTTCAGCCAACACTCAGAATGCAGTGAGCTGGCAATAACTCACTGAAAGTTATGAGGGTCGCACCTATGCTGTCGGTAAACCCAGGGAGGTCAGCTGATGTTGCTTTTTATTGACCTGATGAGCAAGTCTGCCTGGCTCTCACCTGTTGGGAAATGAAGGACTGGAGACTAGACCCAGGAGAGTCTAGTCTGAACTCCTCACTCCCTGCAGGTTTTCTGGATCAGGTGCCCAGCAGGCTCAGGTTCCAGGTCCCTGGCACCCAGCCCAGAATGTGCCTTCAGAAGCCTGAAGCTAGCTCCTTCCCATTTTGTTCTCAGCTGCCTCTTTGCCAGAATGGTATAGAACCAGGCATGAAGGCACAGCTACAATCCGAGCACTCCAGAGACTGAGGCCGAATAGCTAGTTCAAGGTTGGCTTGAAGTATGTAGTAAAACTTAGAAACAGTGTGTTGGAAAGGAGTTGATCCGTGGGCGTCTGCTGCTTAGAACCCTGCATCAGGCAGGTGGTTAACTATACTAGCCTCTAGGCCTCTCTGCCACCACCCGGCCCCCACCTAAGCAGGTTGTTTTCGATGTTTTTTCATGTGTTTGGTTTGGTTTAGTTTGGGTTTATGTATGATACAAAGTCTCATGTAGCTCAGGCTGGCCTCAAACTCCCTGTGTAGGATAGGATGACTTTGAACTCCTTACCTCTTACTTACTATGTTCTGCAATTATAGTGCGAAGGATATATCGGGGTTCTCCTAAAGGCTCCACATCAGGCGAATGCTCTCTGTAAACTCATCAGTTGTGTATATGAAATCCTTAATCCCATCTGGATGGGCCCAGCCTGCCTGCCCACATCAGGGTTCTGGCTCCGGGGCTCTGTCACTGGTCTTCCTGAGGGGGACAGCTTCCTGGTTGGGACTGTTACCCTGGGTTTGGTTACTGGCTTTGGCATGAAGCCTTGACTTTCTGCCCTATAGGATAGGGGCTTTGAAGATCATAGGCCCCTGTTCTGGGCCATGCCTTAAAGCCAAAGAGGGTTAGATTGACAAACAGCAAGCTATCTGTAGCTGGGGTCCCTTGTTAGAGTCAGAGCTAATTAAACCTGCCTCCAGGGCACAGCTTGTATGGTCTGAGTATCCTGAGCCCCCTTGAGATGTCACTCTGGGGTCATATGTTGGCAGGTTTGAGGCCCTTCATCCCTGAGAAGGACAGTCAGCACTTTGAAAACTTTCTGGAGACCATTGGCGTGAAAGATGGCCGTGGTATCATCACTGACAGCTTTGGCAGGCATCGCCGTGCCCTGAGCACCACCTCCACCTCTACCACCAACGGGAACAGGACCACAGGCAGCCCTGATGACCGGTCAGCGCCTTCCGAGGGAGATGAGTGGGACCGCATGATCTTGGACATCAGTAGTGATATTGAAGCGCTAGGCTGCAGCATGGACCAGGACTCAGCGTGATGGGTTGTGACAGCGTACACTTGTCTTACACAGCTATTCCAGGCCTTCCAGGGAGGAGATACCTGGAGCTGACTGTCAGCCCTTCCTGGCTAGGAGCTAGGGAGGGGCTGCAGACACAGGTGGTTCTGGTGGCCAGGTCCTCTACTGTGAAGGAGTGGAGAGCTGCCACAGGACATGTGCCCTAACACAGGGCAGAAGCCTCTGGGCCTCTTCGTCAGGGGCTTAGCAATGCCTGTAGCATATCCCCACTTGGGGAGGGCCAGTTGCAGCTTGGCAGGAAGAGCCAGTCCTGTTGGCCTGGTCCTGGACAGCTGATATTTTGCACATGATTTTCCTCTTCTAACTCTCAGAGACCTTAAAAAGTTGTTTACTACAATGTGAATAATTTAATCTCCAGTTGTCAAGCATTTTTTTCTGTTCCAATTAGTTGAAAGCCATGTTGTCCCAGGGGGTGGTCCCCCTGTTGGACCATGACTGCCCACAGTATCCAGGGCTGGGGCAGAAAAGACGATTGGTGCTTCTGCTTTGGCTCTGTGAACAAGGAACAGGAGCAGGAATTTGGAGACTCTCTCCCATGTCAGGGGTACCTCTATCTTTGCATTCTATGTGGAGATTATCCCAAGGACAGTGGCATGCCGTGTAAGCCTCCTTGATGAAGTGCAATGTACAGGAAGAGTGCCGCCCACAGAACTGAGAGTTGGGGTTTCTGAAAAGTTCACATGGGCCCCATGGCCCTCATTCTGTCCCCTTCCCCAGTCAGCTCTTTCCCTAAGCTTGGTGACTTCATTCTGGACCCCTTGAAACTCTCCTAGCCACCATGAGGAGGGAAGTGACCTGGGGCCAGGCAGCCCTATAAAGCTCCTGGGCTGGGAGGACTGGTCAGGTGCCTCTGTAGCACACACTCAGGGAGGAAGATCTGTGTCCTGGGCAGAAGGCCTGTGTGAGGACCAGGACCTTCTCTGGCCTGGGATGGTTTTGACCGAGCCCCTGGGGCTCTGTGGACACCTCAGTTGTCTCCAGGGCAAGGTAGAGTATCCCTGGGGTCTCACAGATATTTGCATCAGCAGTATCATGGCCTCAGGACAGTATTTGACAGAATCTTCTTGTCATCTGCTGTCCTGGGACTGGTCATGGGAGCCTAGGCCGAGCCAAGAGAGTCAAGACTGTTGGGGTAATCTCTTGATTTGCATGCAGCTAATTCTCTCCTGGAAGTGTGGAGAGATTGCAGATAAGCTGCAGTCTGCCCTGTGCCCAATTATGCCCTAGTATTCCCATGTGCACACCAGCAGGGTCTATGTGGAAGTAGAGGACCAGGACAGCCATATTTCTGTGGCCAAAACTGTAGGAGGAAGGGACAGGGCGTGCATGTCCATGCTGCTGTAGCTGAATCTGAGAGAAAGCCAGAGAGGGGATGACAGGACCAAAGGAGGGTGATGAGGGGGTGTCCGGGACATTGGGGAGACACCAGAGGGCAATTAGGTAACAGCAGAGATTGATGGGACACTAAAGGGTGACATGGCTATGGCATCAAAGCAGTGAGATGACAGAAGGCAGTGAAGAATACCAGGTTCTAAGGGGTAGGGAAGGGACATCAAAGGACCCTGATGAGACACCCAAGGGTGATGAGACTATACCACACAACTGAGGGGACTCCAGAGGGTGATGATGTGACAACGATTTATTGGGCAACAGAGCTGGGGGGAGGCAGAACGGCCCGAGCTTCCAGTCAATAGCTACATTGTCAATTCCTGCAGAGGAAGAGTCAGGTTAGGAGGCGGCTTTTTCTGCAGGACCTCCCTAGGGACATCTGGGCTGCAGAAGGGGCTAGTACTTGCTTACCATGATGGCATTGACAATGTCACTGTGGTTGTCCCTCAGTGCCCGCACAGCCTTTGCCCTGGACACATTGGCCTGGGCCATCACCAGCTCAATGTCACGAAGTTCTAGGCCAGCCTCCTCTACCTAGTGGAGGGGAATAGGGGGGTGACTTATGCTGCCAGGGGCCCCCTTGAGCCCTTCCGCCCAGGTAGGATAGAATCCCATCCTACCCTCACCCCGACCCCATTCAAGTGTCCAGAGCCTCGATACATCACCTCCTCATCTTCTTCCTCCTGCTCCTCGCACTGTGGCCTCACCCGGGGCCCAGGTGCCAACTCAGGGACCAGGGCTGAGGACTCTGAGGGCACCTTGAATTTCTCTGCTGCAGCTTTGTGTACCTGCTGGGACAGGTCCTCGATCTGCAGTATAGGACAGCTGTGTGAGCAGAGGCTCACTGACCCAGCCTTTCCCCCAAACCACAGTATGGCCCTAGCCTTGGCCTTGACATGGCAGTGTGACAGACCTTGGCCTCACCAAAGACCACATAGGTATCCGAGGCGGGGCTCTTGAAGACATCTGGCTTGGCAATGACAAACAAGATGTTCTTGGACTTCTGGATGGTGATCCTGGTGACTCCCTGAATCTGCCGTAAGCCCAGTTTCGACATTGCCTGAGGTGGAGGATGAGAGACTCAGATTACCTTCTCTGACTGACTGGATGATTTTCCATCCCATGTCAGGCTGACCTCCCTCTATAAGGGTTTCCTCAGGACATTCCAGTGTTTAAGGGATGGGGGGGGTCACTAGATTTGACTCAAAGCCTTTTCATGGGTAGGGTTTCACTGGCCACAGACTATGAGGGGTGTTGGTAAGAATGTCTCCCTGTATACATGTCCTCTCCCAGGGTCCTCCAGGGGAGCCCTTAGCTGACCTTTCGAGCCTTCTTCTCACTGCGGCTTTGCTTGGCTTTGGCAATGGTCTCCTCATTGCTGCCTGTTGGGCCCTGTAGGAAGATGAAGGCTAAGCATCTGGGGTGGGGGGCTGGGCTAATGCCCAGAGACCCACCCCCTCTGGGGCCAGCACCTGTGCCGGGCACTGCGCTTTCTGAGATGGGATCTCTTGCTCATCCAGCTCAGCTGACGACTCCCCGTGGCTATCCGAATGCTGGCCGGAGCCTGGGGCCCTCTGTGAATCTGGGAAAGGGGTGAGGTATGAGGGCCTCTTGCTATTGCCGAGGTTCCTCCAGTCCCATCCTGTAGTGTCTCCCTGAGAGGAGTCTAGCTGGCCCAGACCCTGGCCCCCACATACTCTTACCTTCCTCTAGGCTGTCCTCATCCTCTTGTTGATGGGCTGGGAACCCTCGAGGGCCAGATGGGTTCTGGGTCCCAGAGGGAGGAGGCACTTGGCAGGGGCTTGAGATGATGCAAGCCAGGTCTTTGGCATCTGTGGGGGTCACCTTGGGGTTGAGGGTGGAGTGAGGTGAGAGGCTGACACGATGCCGGGCCCCCAGAGGCATTGTGGATCCTGAGGTGGTAATGGCAGCAGTTCCCTGGGCTCCTGCCCGAGGCATCAGACCACGAGAGGCTGAGGGCTCCTCCTCTTCCACAGAGGCTTTCTGGGGAGTAGGGCACAGGCAGGAGGCTGGGGGCCCTGGGGATGTTTGGGATGCCCTGTTGAGGTCATTGGAAGCAGGAGGGTCAGGATCCAGGGACCTACCCTGGGGTGTGGTGGGCAGGTCACTGACAGAGTTTGCTGGGGAAGGGTTAAGGGCACCTGGGGTCGTCTGAGGCTGATCTCTACTACCCAGGCCTAGCACAGGCTCCAGTTGCTCGAAGGATTGTGCAGACCTGGCAGTCTCTTCAGAGTGGACTCCGCTCAACGTGCATGTGGCCCTTGCTGGGGAGTCTGGGCAGGAGCCTAGCCTGGCTTGTACAGATAGAGCCACAGGAAGCTTGGGGCCCAAGGTGTCCTTGCTATTCAGGCCCCTTCCCTCCCTCGCTAAGCTCATCAACTGTGTCTGGCTGACCTCAGTGCATGAAGCAGACTGTGCCTTGGAAGTCTTCCCTGCACCTTGGGATGCTGACTTGGACCCATTTCCCTGCCCTAGTGGTTTGGGGCATCTACCCCGCTTGTTCTTGGCCCCTGGGGCCTCTCTTTGAGGTGAGCAGGTCTTGACCCCACCATGGGCTTCAAGATGTGCTCCTTGCCTGAGTGCAGGTATACTCTCTGCTACTTTCTCTCCCATACAAGATATGGGCTCAGAGACCTTTGTGCTCAAGGTGGGACACGACTCTTCTGGAGCCCCAGCGTTGTCAGCTTTTACAGCTGGCTGGGAGCCGTTCTGTTGGGCTTGGTTTGAAGTGGTGAGTGCCGAGTCTAGAGTGGGTTCTGAATCTTGCTCCTCAGGCACTGGCTTTGGTCCTAAGGCCACACCTAACTCCTGATGGGCCTCAGAGGCTGAAGGCTTAATCTCTGGGGTGTAGCATGTTTCTCTCTGCAGAGCTGGAGAGGTGTCTTGGACTATCAGCTCTGGCTCTGAGGTGGAATCCGTACCTTGAAGGGATGGAGGTGCCACCACAAAGGTGTCCTGGGGTACAGTGGTACTGCCTTTAGCCTGCTGGGACTCCAGTGTGGCTGTAGCCACAGGTTGTAGGTCTAAGATTGAATCTAAGCTTCTCAGGGGTGAAGGTGATGCTACTGGGGCAAGCTGGGGTATGGTGACACCCTCCTTGGCCTGCTGTGGTTCCAGTATGGCAGCAAGCTCAGATTCTGGGTCTGGAGTGGGATCTGAGCCTTGCAGGGAAAGACATGCCATGGGGGAGCCATGGGGTGCTGTGGTACCTTTATCCTGCTGGTACCCCAGTGTGACCACAGCCTCAGGTTCTGGATCTGAGGTGGGCTCTGAGCCTTGCGGGGGTGGGGATGATGCCATGGGGGAGTCCTGGGGTGCTGTGGTATCTTCCTTAGCCTGCTGGGACCCCAATGTGACCACAGCCTCAGGTTCTGGATCTGAGGTGGGCTCTGAGCCTTGCGGGGGGGGGGATGATGCCATGGGGGAGTCCTGGGGTGCTGTGGTACCTTCCTTAGCCTGCTGGGGCCCACATGTAGCCACAGCCCTAGACTCTGGGCCTGAGGTGGGATCTGTACTTTGTAGGGGTAGAGGTGATGCCACAGGGGCCTCCTGGAGTGCTATGACACATCCCTCATCCTGCTGGAGTCTCAGAGTGACTACAGCCACAGACTCTGGGCCCGAGGTGGGATCTACACATTGCAAGAATGGGGGTAGTGTCATAGGGTGGTCCTGGGGTATTGTGATACCTCCCTCAGCCTTCTGGGGCCTCACTGAAGCCACAGTCACATACTCCAGTGTGGAGGGAAGGCCCTGGCCTCCTTCCTTCAAGTTAGCAGGAAGGATTGGACACAGGGTGGGGCTTGCTTCTTCCTGCAGATCTAGAATGGACTCTACAGTAACAGGCTTACAGCCTGAAGATGTGCCCATCCCCTTCCGGCAGGGCTCAGGTAGTGCCCTGGGTGCTTGTTGAGCAACTGAGTCAACTTCTTTGTTGCCTACCCTAGGGGTAACTGTGGTAGCTCCCTCCATCTGGGGGCCTGGAGCTTCTTGCAGATCAGGAAGGGTCACAGTAGCTTCAGACTCTATGCCTAAAGTTGGGGCCTCTTCTGCTATATCTGCAATCGATTCCTGGCTATTGGTAAGACAGGTTTCTTGCTCTGAAATCTGAGGCATGAACTCTGTCCCCTGAAATGTGGCTCTGCTTCTGTGCTCCTGCTCTGTGTTCTGGGCACTGGGCTGGGCATGGGGCTCCCCACTGTACAGCCTGTCGTCATCTGCCCCTGCATAGGAAGCTGAGTCCGAGTCAGAGGAGGCTGCTGAGGTATCATCCCGGAAGGCGAAGGCCTCATCCATGCCCTCAATGATGGACAGATCAGACAGTGACTGCAGGAAGGAGGCAGATGTGCTGTCGTCCTCACCCTCTCCAGCCAGGTCTCCATCTGGGGTGGCAGCACCAGCAACTACCTCCTCTTCCTCCTCCTCTTGGGGCAGTGGTGTCACCTCCACGGCTTCCACCTGGAAGATGAGGCTACCCCGGAAGGGTAGTAGGGCGGCAGGGATCATCGGGTCGTTGGCCAAGAAGGTAGGGTCAAAGAAATGGCCCTCTTGGCTCCAGGAAGAGCTGCTGTCGGTTGAGAGGCTAGACTCAGAGGATGGGGGCTCTGGAGCTTCTGTGGGTTGTGGCTCTAGTTCGTCTACCACAGACCCTGATGGGGAAAGGCCCCAGTCGGAGGGAAAGTCCAACCCTTCAGCCGGGGCCAGCAGGCTGAGGGAACAGGAAGGTGAGGAGGCCCAGCTGTCCCCATCTGCTGTAATGTAGGAGCCTGAGGGTGAAGCTGGCGTTGAGTCCAGTAACTCATCCAGCAGCTCGGCCTCCAGGTCCCAGGTGTCCCTGTGGGGTCCATGGTCAGGGAGCAGGGCATAGGTGGTTTTGGTGGGAGTAGAAGGTGGTGTGAAGTAGGAATCAAGGTCAGGGGGAGGGGAAGGCACAGGAGGATCACCCTGAGAACACAGCTCCGGAGGTGGGTGCAAGGCCATGTGCCCACCCTCCCGGTCCCTGAGCACTGGCCAAGCTGCCCTGGGTAAAGGGGTGACCTGGCATGTCTCCTCACCCATCACGATGCGGGGCTCCAGGGTGGTGGGGAGAGGGACTTCAGCAGGCAAAGGCTGGAGAGGCAGGCCCTCAGGGAGGACCCCTGGACTTGGGCTGCCCTCTGCTGGGTCCACCCAGGTTGAGGCAGCCCCACTGGGCCCTGCATCCCAGCTGGCTCCCTCAGGCTGGGGCCGCGCACCTGGCTTGCTGGACAGGAATGCAAGGGCCAGAGGGCTAGGCCCTGGGGTCAGGGGAAGGGGCTCCCGTTGGTCCCCTTTCAGGATAGTGGCAATGGCTGCATCACATGAGAGATCTGTGGAGACAGAAAAGGACATGAGAGGCCTACTGGATACATCTCAGGGCCAGGCCAGGTAAAGAGCTGAACATGGAGCAGGTTTCCATGGATAAAATCTCAGAGGAGGACTAGTCAGGGGAGGTAGTAGAGGAGAGAATGACATGCAGGCTAAGTGGACTTAAGGTCTGCACACTACAGCTCTGGTATATTCCAGGTCTACTGTAAAGCAGGAGGTTTTGCCTCTAGCCCATCTCTCTCCTACCCCTGTTGCCTATCTCGAGACAGAGCTGTTTGCATAGCCCTGCATGCAGCTAAGTTTCTGGAGGATGGAGACAGACATGTGTCACAGAGCGTGGGTTGCAGCACCCTGCTCAAAGGGCAGTGATGGGTAATGATGGTGATCTGGTGCCCATGGAAACAGGACAGCTGAGGGAAGGCTGCCATGTCCTCTCCATGGTGTCAGTTGCTCATGGTCACAGATCCTCCACCATGCTGAGAGCTGGCCTGCCTTGGGATCCTTCTCTAGGTCTCTTCAGGCACAGGTGCTCATGGGCTGGCATACCCTCAGCTGACACGCCACACCACAAACACATGTCTGGGCCATGATGCCCTGTGGCTCAGAAAGTACTTAGGGACTTAGGAAAGTAGCGAACAAATCTCTCCAGGAGAAAATACCCACACTACCTCCTATCTCTCTGGCCAATGCTGTCTTGCTTCTTGCTGACCTGCATGTCACCAAGGTCACTCTGCACATTCACTAAGTCCCATGACTTTTAACTCAACCATTTAAATGTACTCAAGTTCTCAGAGCATCATTTTTTTTAGCCTCATTTTTAATGAGTCTGTAACAGCTACCCTCTCACCTGGACCATAGCCAAACACACATCTCTTTGAAGTATCCACTTAAAGCCTTCCTACTGTCCCCAGAGCCCAGGCCAAGTCCTGCAAAAGAGGGGGAGGGGCAGTGCCTAGGCACCGCTCTGGCAGGCACACAGCCAATGCTGCTGGCTCTACCATATTCACTGGTGACAGGGCAACATGGCCTGCACCGTGCCTTTGTCTTTCTCAGCTACGGAGCAGATCTCACCCAGGATGAGAGGGAAGCTGAAGAGGGGACAGCCACCTCCCTGATATCTGCTCTCAGTAGCGTCAGGGCATTGGGTTCTTTGACACTGGCTACTAAGACAACCAGGGGTCCTGCAGGTCCCTTGAGGGACACCTGGAACTGGAAAGTGGGTGTGGCTAGTAGCCATCACTGGGTGTTCCAAAGTCAGGCTCTTGCGATCTCTACTTCTTAGTGTGGCCTCAGGGCAGAGGGCAGAATTGGGCCAAGGTTAAAATGGAAATAAAAGGCCCAAGTTGTGGGGCCTTTTGTTTGTTTTGGGACTTATTCAAGGTCACCAAGCAAGCCAGAAAGGAACCAGCTAATCACTCTGGGTCTGGGGCGTCCCAGCCTGGATTGCCTGTTCCCCAACAAGAGTAGGGTGGCATCTGTGTTGGTTCTCAGTCAGGTCCCTGGCCCAGCATTGGCACCATCTCCATTCTTGCCCATACTGTCCCCAGATGACTTCTTGCACACAGCAAGGTGCCCTTGGTTTTGCCCAAGCTACACACAGCCCATCTCCAGTAGGGACCATTCAAGCTTAGAGTACCCTCAGGCCTGCAAGTGGACTGACTTCCACCAACATTTAACGCCCCTGCTTCTCCAAGCTCTGCATATTAAGACCACTGCTGGCCACAACACCTCTCCAGGGCCGAACCTCCCAGACCCAGCTCTGCCAGTGTCCTCTGGCTGGGTTCCCAGGTCCCATCAATCCTACACCTCCTTTCTAAGTCTAGCCGCTTGCTGCCCTGGGCACCCAAGGTATCTCTAAGGACCCTCTGGTGGTCACAGGATGAGCATGCAGGGACCCTCTGGGCCTCCCGCTTCCAAACCTGCCACCCACAGTCGGTCCTGGGGCCCCCGCAGCTCTCTGTGGACAAAGAAACGCGATGTGGTACAGAGGCCCAAGCAAATGGGACTTGGTCCAAAGAGCACGCTTTACATCCCCCCCGCCCCCCAGCCCAGAGTGAAAGGCCAAGACACTGCCCTTCAGAGCTGCAGGCTTTGGAGGATGCTGTCTGCTGCCTCCAGGCTTTCATGAAATTCTGGGGGTTGGGGGTGGGGGAAGGATGCAATGTGGAGGGAAGAGCCGGTCTGGAAAGACAGGGGAGGGGACTGTTCGGAGGCTGAGAGATGGAGAGAGAGAAAGCCAGAGAAAGGTATTGGGCCAGAAAGCGGAGCCACCGCGGTCTCACCTGTGCGGGATCCTGGCCCTCCTGCCTCAGGCAGCGGCAACTCAGCGCGCGCAGCCTCCCCGGGCATGGCCTGGACGTGTGCCTGCTGGTCCCCCTGTCTCTCTGTCCCTCTGTCCGTCAATGCGCTCAGTGTAGCCAGCTCGGCCACCGCCCCTCTGATGGGGGGGGGCGTGGATG